GCAGCGCTGTCAATCAGCAACTCGCCTGAGTGGCATCTATCGACAGTTCCCAGCGTGACACTTCCCCGCTCCCTCCCCCATTTCGGGTTCACGGTAACACATACTTTGAGCCTGCTGTTTTTTCATCATAGAACGGATTTTTTTTTCCTTTTTCTCTGCTTGTGTTGATTCTTTCCCCCTGCTTTATCCTTTCAAGACTATCATAGAAAATACTGTATTCAATCCAAATCCCCTAGAGCCTTCGTGGCTGTGGTTTCAATATATATTATTCTGTATTTCATTTCTTTTCATTTTCCTTACCTTGAGACACCTCAAACTGAGTCCAGTCAATCACTATCACAGCCCCAAAACATCTGTGGTCCACCCTCTACTATATTTCTGTCTGTATCCTTGACTTCTCCTCAGGGACCAGAAAGCTTTGACTAATTATGACAGGGAATTGATTTGTTCTCCCCATGTCAAAATGGTCCCTAATTTCATCACCAATACATGTTTGCAGAGACCTCCCACGCTGGATTTTTTTGAAACAGCCCAATTTCAAGTAATCTGCTCCTCAGGCCAGTGGTTCCAACCTTTGGTTTGGAAAATCAGGTCATAGCCGCCTGCCGACAGCCACTTAAACGAGCTTATTTTAAGTAATTATTTTATTGACATCTTTTTCCTTTGCTCACTCAGGAAAAAAAAACAAAAAACGATTTCAATTAAGAATCACATCTTTACTTTCTGTAAGCTAAAAGGAATCTTTACTTACTGCGTGGCAAACTGGAGATAGGGGCCAAGGCCCACTCAGAATTTGTTAGTATCTGTGCCCCAAGCCCCACCAGCACCACAGCCTGCCAAACAGAAAAACCTAAACCAGTTCTCAGTAAGGAGATCCCAACTCAAGGCAATGCCATGTGTTTCCAAGTAGAACTGTACTCCATACGGTTTCATAGCCGTGACCTTTGGGAAGCAGGTTGCCAAGGCTTTCTTCCACAGTCCCTTGGAGTGGGTTCAAAATGTCAGCCTATTCCTTAGCAACCAAGCATTTAACAGTTTGCATCATCCAGGAGCTCCCCACAGCATGCACATGAGCCCAAAAGTGTGCTTGCAAACACACACACACACACACACAAACACACACACTATCTGGCTATCCCCTATCCAGTTTCAAACTTATAGAAGAACTCAACAGCAACATCAAATTAAAGAATGACCCTTTGGTCTCTATGTTCTACAAGTCCTGGATTTTCCTGATTGAACCACTCCTAGCAGGCATTTTTCTCACTCCACGAACTAACAAGAGGCATTCAAGACAACTGGCAGTCTGTTATCTGTATTGTAGCAGCTTTCCATCCCCCAAAAATGGGAATGAGATTGTTGTTACTAGTTGCCATAAAGTTGGCTCCAACCCCAATACAACAGAACGAAACATTGCCCAGGCCTGTGCCATCTTCACAACTGTTGTTATGTTGTAGTCTATTGTTGAAGCCACTGTGTGTTTTGAGTGCCTTTCAACCTAGGGGGCTCATCTTCCAGCTCGATATTGGACAATATTGGACAATTGTGATCCATAAGGTTTTCACTGGTTAATTTTTGGAAGTAGATCACCAGGTCTTTCCTCCTAGTCTGTCAGTCAGTCTAGAAGCGCCACTGAAACCTGTGCACCATCAGTGATCCTGCTGTTATTTGAAATACCGTTGCCATAGCTTCCAGCATCATAGATGCAAGCCCCCACAGTGCAACAAACTGACAGATGGGAGAAGAGGATTGTTTGCTATGAAATTTCTCTACAAAGAGGAACATTGGTCAGCACAAAAATCATTGGTATTTACAATACTTTTTGAATAGGAAGCTTAAGGAGTTTCCTCCAAGCACTACTTGTTGGAAAATTTGAAGTCTTATATGTTAAGACTGCAGCTTAAACAATGGTATTAACAAATATAAAGAAGAAAATAGGTCAACTGGAAACTTTGAAGACAGTCTGTGGGAAGAGGGAGGGGACACGTAAGAATCATAGCTGACACATATGGTCACTGATCATGTACCAGGCACTTTGCTAAACACAGCACATGCATTCTGTTTTTTAATCCTTACGACAATCCTATGAGACATGTCTTATCATTGGCCATAGTTCACAGATGAAGAAACTGAAGCACAGAGAAGTTGAGTAGCTTCCCAAGATCACCCAGACAGGAAGTTGAAAAGCCAGGACCCAAACTCATATTGTCTGACTCCAGTCCCCAGTTTTCAATCATTTTGTTATTCTGCCTAGTCAGTCTGAACTCAACAGTATCAGGGGAGAAAGTTATAATAGCTCTGGGATTTCAAGTATTTGTTTCCCACTAGCAAAGTATGTCAATAGCCCCTCAAACTGGCATGAATTAAACACCATTTGCTTAGATTATACAACCACCCCTGGTATTGTGACAACAGGGAGAGTTTCATGAGTGACATAAGAGTTGTTTCTCACTGTAAAGTTTTGAATTGGCAGCTTCTCGCCTACTTCAGCCACCAGAACATTCAGTTACTGAGAGTCAGGCCCCTGGAGCCCGAGCACTCCCCAGCCATTCAGCCCTTCTTTGTATAATACCTCCACCAGTTTCATCCTCCAGTTTCTACCTTTTCCCTCACATACCTCAGTCCCACTCTTTATCTTTGGGAAGGTGGCAAATGTAAACCCTTGTTAACATTGAGAGCCTCAGCCTCTGTCATCTTGACTATGTGCTCTTCTCCATCCCCATATAATTAGGTTTTCTTTAAAACCAAATACTCCTATTCTTGATGCTCCTTGAAACTAGTTGCCTCATATATACCAATTCTATCAGTGTCACCACAACAGTAATATTTGAAATAATCCCTTAATCACTATGCTAACAAAACCCTTTATATATGTGCCATGTATGCATGTATATATATGCACTTACATATATTATGCATGTGTGTATTATACATGTAGGTGTGTTTACATATGTGTATGTGTGTATATATTGTGCACACATACATGCACATATACACCTGTGTAAATACATAGATATGTAGGTTTATTTATACACATATATGCATATGTACATAATTCTCCAAAACTGTTTTATCTTAGAGAAAAGGCTCTGCCAGGCACTGAGCTTACACCATATCCTAGACAGGTCATGCCCCAAGGCCTGCCCTGCCCACATCCTTTCCAAATCTTCCTCTTTGCAGGCATAGGATGATTCCACGGGGAGGCCTGTGAACCAGGGAAGCCAGTGTTATGGCTTACAACAACTTACCAGGACCTGATGTGAAAAAGTGAGCTAAGCCCATCAGAGTGCCCTCATGGAAATGTGACTGGAAAACCCTGAGAGATTGGGGTAGTGAGCAGCAGGGCTGAGGGTAAAAGGGTGGCTCGAGTTTGGGCTGGAGCAAGGGCATGCTGTGCACAGTGACATTGTGAGGAGGCAGAAAGTCACCACAGAGAGGCTGAAGGAGCTGCTTGGAGTGGAAGAGATGAGAGCAGAATAGATACAATAGACAAGCACGTGCCATGAAGTCCTGGTTTTCATGATTCTAAACAGGGTGAAGGAAGGATGGAGAATGCCTGGGCTTGGATGGAGGGAGGGGAGATCACAAAGCATCAAGTGAAGTTAGGATGAGCAAATGATTGGTCCAATGAGGTACAATGGGAATCCTCTCACTTGGAGTTGAGCACCTGTGTGGTCACCTTGAGTAGGAAGCAACTCAGTGGCAATGAGTTTGGGCTTTTTTGCTGTCATATTATGTATGTTGATATATATATAATATGTATATATGTGTGTGTGTGTGTGTGTGTGTATTTGTATATATACATATTTGTATATATATGTATATGTATATACATACATATATATGTGTGACACATATGTGTGAGTCTATGGGTGATTCAAACAATTAAATGTTTGGCTGCTAACCGAAAGGCTGGAGGTTCATTTCCATCCAGAGGCATCTCAGGAGAAAGGCTTGGCCATCTACTTCCAGAAAGTCCCCATTGAAAATCCTACAGAGCACAGTTCTACTCTGACATACAGGGGTCTCTATGAGTCAGAGTCAACTCAATAGCAGCTAGTGCCACTGGTGTCACATTCCTTAAGAAAATATTTCAAAAATTTAAAAAAACAAACATCAATAACCTCCAAAACACAGAGAATGTCCTACAGTCTCACTAGGAACAAATTTGCCCTGCAAAACAGTCAAGCTTCCCAACTAATTCCAACTAGTGTAAGAAGAATCTTTCCTCTGCCAGATGTGGATTTATATTTCATTCTAATGACAAAATGTAGCTGATCACATACCAAAGGGCAGAGAGCATCATGTTATACATGTTATGCATGTTAAGTTATACGGTGAGCAGAGAATAAACAGAATTGAACATCATTCCATTTTCCTAGGTGTGGCCTGTGGTCAACATACTCCATTATTGTTGGTCCCAGAAGCATGCCTTCACTCTTACATACCACTGTGCACTGTACACAGCCCTCACCCCAGCCTCAAAGTTCTCCACTTTCACCCCAGTTCTGTTCTGGGATGGGGTATGAAACTTGTCCACCAACCTTCCAACTTATAGGAAATTCCCCTTTCCATGGAAAGCAAACACATTTCTATTATGGCTGCTTCACCATTCTTGCTGAATAATCTACTTGCATTGGAGAAGCTGGACACCGAAGGGGGTCACAAAACATTCAAGTCAAAAACGAAATTAAAATATGTTTTCTAGGACGTGCAGAGTACAGAAAATGGGACCTTTGCCTTAGTGGAGGTGAGAAAACCACTGAAAATGTAGCACTTGTCACGTGGCCCACAAGTCTCATTATTTTACAATTATACCAGAATGTCAAACATCCACATCAACAAAGTACATTAAAGCCTACAGAGTTGGCAAGTGTTAAAAATGGTTCGTTTCTGCCTCCTAAGTTAAAGTGAACAGATGACAGGTCTGTTTAATACAGCATGTGTTTTTCTTAACTGGCCTATGACAAGTCACAAGAAAGAGTTATACAGGTACTTACTATTTATAACCCAAGGCCACGTCCACAAAATACTTTCTTCTCTGCCGATAGACATTGTCCTTAAATCCCTTAAACAGAAAAGAGATTAAGTTACTTAATGAAGTGCAGAAAAATTAGCTGCAGAAGGCCTAAAAGAAAATCATTGTGGTATTTACTGAGTGTTTAACTAAAATGTAAATCTTATCCTTGGATGACCATCTTGATGCCACAGGCAGAAGCAAATTGTGCTCACAGTAAAACCTCCTTAAATTGGGGCTGTGCTAATTTGCCATGTGTGCTGGGAATTCAGGCCAAAGTTTACCTTTCCACTAAGTAGGCAAAATGGGTTAGTTAAGCAAATTGATACTGTGAACACTGTCTTTTGGTTTTCAAGTATTATTTACATGTAATTGATCTTGATAACAATTTAATATTATCCTGTTCATTAAACCAATTTCCTTTAAATTGGTTATTCAATAAATTAACCTAATTTTAATTGCTCTGTGTAAATGACTAATAAATGTATATTTATTAAAAATTCCATTATTCAGAATAATCATCAAATTTCCAAATTAGTATGAATTAAAGAGGTTTTGCTGTATTTTATGACTAGAGTCACACAATGCAAAATCAATTATAAGGGACTCATGCACAGGGTAGCAGGTTAGCTCCATTCCACACTGAGTTCTTATAGTTCTAGTTAGCCTGAGCCAACTTTTGACTTTAATCCATCACCATGCACTTAGGAAATTAAAAACTATGTCTGTTATTCTTCAGTCAAGTAGAATCCTTCTGAGAGGGCTTCCATTCAAAAATTTCTCCTGTCTTCTACAGACTTTCCATTTTCATTTCCTTCGGGTACTTCTGGGAGCTCTGGTGGCATAGTGCCTAAGGCATTTGACTACTAACCAGAAGGCTGGAGGTCCAAACCCACCAGCCTTCCTCAGAAGGGAGATTGGGCAATCTACTTCCACAGAGATACCACCTCAGAAACCCAAAGAGAGGTCAGTATGGGTCAGATCTGACTCATCAGCAGTGAGTTTTTCAGGTACTTCCAGATATTCAATTGTTTCCAAGGTTGTTTCTTCAAACTGCTGGAAGCCCAGAAGGAATTGTTTCCATTTACTTTCTTACTTCTGAAACTCAGAAAGATAACCAAGAAGCAAGTGTCACTCTGAGAATAAAGGACCAGCATGGTAGTTAAATCTGTGTGTCAACTTGGCTAGGCCTGGTTGAGTGGCTGGGCAGCTGGATGTAGTATTCCCCATGATCGGACTGGTAATCAATTCCATGGCAGAATCTACTGTGAGCAGCTGAGTAGCTGCCTTTGGGTATGTGGTCTACTTCCCATATAGAAGAAACAGCTTTAGGAATGGTCTCTAGCTTATGGCTTGAACCTTGCATGTAGCCATGTCATTGTTCACCAGCCTGCCATGCTCTGCCGACCTTGGGACTTTCAGTGGACTTGAGTTAATGGCCTGACATGTGGTTTGGTAACATCGGGACTGTGCCTTTTTATTTGTTTACCTTGGGCTTGTCAGTCTCAGCAGCTAGCAGTTGTCTGAGTGAAGAAAAGCCTCTAGCTCCAGTGGGCTGGGAGCAGGAAGCAGAGCTGAACCCCAAGGTTGAGGGGCTTTCACCCAGCCCCTAGAGCCTGGCACTTTGAATTTGGACTTAAAGCCTCCAAACTGTAAGAGAATAAACTCCTGTTTGTTCAAGCATCCCATCTGTTGGAGAGGTACTAGGTAACCAGAGCACTAGGTAAGAAGACAAGTCACTTGGATTATGGGATCTGATTGTAGGAGAATGGGACCAGGTTCGACAACAGCCTAAATTAGCTCCGCTGCAACTAAGACATTTCTGCCAGGTACAGGTGAGCTATTCAAGAGGAACCTCAATCTCACTAGAAAATCACCCCATTCAATTATCTGTCTGAAGAAGAACTGGCCTTGAGGCCAGAAATCTTCACAGGACTGTCTCTGCTGATCATAAAGCAAGAACTACCATGGCCAAAGACCTTTCTTTGGGAATGACAAGAGAGTTCCTAACAGAGGATGGGGAGAGAACATCCCCTGAGATCACTCTCACCCTGTGCAAAGTAATCATATCCCATAAGCTAACACTTTGTTTCTTGGACAAGGAATCAGGATTTTTTTAACTGGGGTTCATAGCTAAGGTTGTGATGACCTAAAATGTGTGTATACAAAAATTTGTGAGCATAGTAAAATATCTACTGGAACTAATTGAGAGATTTAGAATAGTGGCAGGATACAAGATCAACATCCAAAAGTCAGTTGGATTCCCTACACCAGCAAAGAGACTGCTGAAAAAGAAATAAGGAAATCAATACCATTTACAATAGCTACCAAAAATATAAAATACTTGGGAGTCAATCTTACCAGAGACACAAAAGACCTGTACAAAGAAAACTACAAAAGACTACTTCAAGAAACCATAAAAGATCTACATAAATGGAAGAACGTACATCATGGACAAGAAGATTGAACATTGTGAAAATGTCAATTCTACCCAAAGCAATCTATACATTCAATGCAATCCCAATCCAGATCCCATCAACAGTTTTTAAGGATATGGAAAAACCAGTCACTAACATTATATGGAAAGGAAAGAAACTTTGGATAAGCAAAGCATTATTAAAGAAGAAGAACAAAGTAGGAGGTCTCACACTGCTGGATCTCAAAACCTACTATACAGCCACAGTAGTCAAAACTGCCTGGTATTTGTACAATGACAGACACATAGACCAAAGGAATAGAATTGAGAACCCAGAAATAGTTCCATAGACCTATAGTCAGCTGATCTTTGACAAAGGGCCAAAATCCATTAAATGGGGAAGGGATTGTCTGTTTAACAAATGGTGCTGGCAAAACTGAATATCCATTTGCAGAAAAATGAAACAAGACCCATACCTCACACCACACACAAAAACTAACTCCAGATGGCTCAAAGACTTAAATGTGAAACCTAAAACTGTAAAGTTCCTCAAGGAAAAACTAGGAGCAAATTTAGGGGCCCTAATATATGGCAAAAATTTGACTGCTAACCAGAAGGCTGGCAGTTCAAACCCACCAGCCACTCCTCAGAAGGAAAGTTGGGCAATCTACTTCTGTAGTGTACTGCCTCGGAAACCCAAGGAGAGGTTGCTATGAGTTGGATCTGACTCAAAGGCAATGAGTTTGTTTTTTCAGGTTTTTAATATATGACATAAATAGACTGTCAAGCATAACCCACAATGCACAAACAGCAGAAGATAAACTAGATGAATGGGACCTTCTAAAAATTAAATTTCTATGTGCTTCCAAAGGCTTCTCCAAAAGAGTCAAAAGAGAACCTACAGATTGGGGGAAAAATATTTGGCAATGACATATCTGACAAGGGACTTAACCTCTAGAATTTATAGAAAACTCCAACACCTCAACAACAGAAAGACAAATAATCCAAATAAAAAATGGGCAGAAGGCAAGACTTTGCCAAAAAGGATATTCAGAAAAAAAAAAAAAAAATTTGTGATTACAGTTATCATATTTACACATGGGTTTGTGACCTACAAAAAGGTAAATACTCCTGTAGAGGGTAGGTGGAGTCATTGGGTATTCCATTGTTAACATGCTCATCTTCGAACAAAAAGATTGGATGTTTGAGTCACCCACAGGCACTGCAGAAGAAAGGCTTAGCTATCCACTTCCAAAAAATCAGCCACTGGAAATCATATGGAGCACAGTTCTACTTTGAACCATATGAAGTCGCCATGAGTTGAAGTCAAGTCAATGACAGCAGGTGTGTGTGATGTAGAGCATAGAGATCTTAATCTAAAAAGTATTTCAACACATATGAGTAGCACCTGAAGATCTGTGATGGTAAAGTTGTAGAACTCCAAGCATCTTTATTATCCAAAAAGAAAGCACGCCATGACAAAAGAGAGTCTTAAAAATCACAGCATTTTTTCCCTGGGTCTCCCAGACCAGACACCATGCCACATCTGCCAGGCTTCCCAAAGAATCTTGACTGTCTTTCTTCGGTAAACATCTGCACCCTTTCCATGGATGCAGGAAAATGATTTACTCACCATGCCTCATTAGCCTATTGTGGCGGTGATCACACAAGTGTTGAAGCTGATCCAGAGCTTCCTGGGTTGAACCATGGATGACAAAGTACAACAGGATGCTAACATTAGCGATTACAGAGACAGCATTCCTTGCCCACCCATTCCTGATGGAAGTTAGGGCTAGGGTGCAGATAAAATGCAGGATTCCCAGTTAAATGTAAATTTCAGATAAACAATGTATATATTTTCACTATTAGTAGGACTGATGTAATATTTGGTACATATTTATATGGTTGGGCAGTCTACTTCCATAGAGATACAGCCTCGGAAACCCAAGGAGGGGTCGCTATGAATCATATCTGACTTGATGGCATTGAGCTTGGTTTTTTTTTTTTTTTTTTTTTGGTTTACTTATCTGAAAAAAATTATTCATTGTTTACCTGAAATTCAAATTTAACCAGGCATCCTGTATATTTATTTACTAAATCCTGGGCAACCATACCACCCAGGAAGCTCCTGCCACACAATCCTACCCTGCCTCCTTCCACTTACATTAAGAACTGAAGACTCAGCCTGTACCCTAAAGTGCTCAGCTTAATTTACATGACACTCAAGTAAGAACCACTGCCATCCAGTTGATTCAGATGCATAACAACCCCCATTGGGTTTTTGAGGCAGTAAATCTTTATGGAAGTAGATTGCTTCCCCTTCCTTCTGCAGAGTGGCTGGTGAGTTTCAACTGCCAACCTTCTGGTTAGCAGTCAAATACCTTAGGCACTGCACCACCAGACCTCCTTTATGGCATTCAAGTAGTGATCCTAAATAGCTCAGCTCTGGTGGCATATTTGGATCACCTAGGAAGTTTCAAATAATACTCCAAACCCGGACACTTTCTCAGTGATTCTGACTGCAGTGCAGGGAGCCCTCCCGCCCCCCCACACCCACACACCAGATGATTTGAACCGGGAAGCTAGGACCAAAACCAAATCAAACCCACTGCCATCAAGTAGATTCCGACTCATAGTGACCCTATGAGACAGAGAAGAACTGCCCCATAGGGTTTCCAAGGCTGTAAATCTTTATGGAAGCAGACTGCCTCATCTTTCTTACGCAGAGCAGCTGGTGGATTTGAACTGCTAACCTTTTCCTTAAGCAGCCGAATGTCTTAACCACTGCATGACCAGAGTTGCAGGAGCTAGGACATAAGTTCCCAAACATAAGAGCTGATCAGACTCTCCTGCAGACCGTTTTAAATGCAGACTGCATGTCCCTTCCCTGAAAATTGTGATCCAACAGGTTTCACATGAGCCTCAAGATGCTGTGTTTTAACAAAGTGAACCACAGTTTGAAAGTCGAGATCCTTGCTCTTCAAAGGCCGGTCCCCAGGCCTCCAATGTAAGACTCATCTGGCGGTGCCTAGAATGAAGAATCTCAGGCCCCACCTGGACCCTCCTGAATCTGTTCTCGCTTTTAAAAGATCCCCCACATGATTTGCTTGCCTGCTAAAATTTGACAGAAATGGACCTAATGTTTTTTTCTTCTTTTTGGTGATTTGAGTGAAAGTTTATAGAGTGAATTTGTTTTCCATTCAATGGTTCATACACATTTTGTTTCATGACATTGATTGCAATCCCTGCAATGTAACATTTCTCTTCCCACTTCCTCCCTGCATTTGCCTTTTCCCTGTGTGTCCTTCTTTCCTATGTATTCCTGCTCTCTGAGTTTTCTCCCTGCACAAATGCTGCCCTTCTGATCTCCCATGGTTGAATGTTCTAAGGAGTATAGCTACCTGGTGTAACTGTTTACCTCTTAGGCTTATCTATTGTTTGGCTGGAAATTAAGCCCTGGGAATGAGTTCATTTCCAGGCTTGAAGGGTGACTAAGGGGAGTAGTCTCTGGGGTGGACCTAGATATTTAACCCTTTCTAGAGAATCCTAAGAGGAAAGGCCTGGCCAGCTACTTGACAATTAACCAATAAACATTCTAAGGATCCTGTTGACCTCTCTGAAAGGGGATCACAGTAGGAGGTCCTAGATAGAGTGGGAGAAAAATGTAGAACAAAACTGAAAATCATAATAAAACACCAGGCTTACTGGTGTCATAGAGGCTGGTGGAATGCCCCAGACTATGGCCCTCAGACACCTTTCAAGCCTGGAACTGAACTCACTTCTGTGGCTCAGCTTCCATGTAAACAGTAGACAGGCCTACAAGGTGAGCAACAGCACCAGGAAGGTGGGCGCTCCTTAGAACAACCAACCGTATGAGATCAAATGGGTGGCCTTTGCCCAGGAACAAAGCTCAGAAGGCAGGAAGGGATAGGAGAGAAGGATGAAGGGAAATGGTAAACACAGGGAGGCAGTGGGAAGAATGCTATTACATCGTGGGGACTGCAATGAATGTCACAAAAGAAAATGTGCATGAATTGTTGAATGGGAAACCAATTTGCTCTGTAAACATTCACCCGAATCACAATTAAAAACAAAAAATAAGAAAGAAAAAAAGTTTATAGGTTACAATGGTCCAGTCTGCACTGAACATGAAGATGGCACATAACCAAGCAGTGTTTTGTTGGGTCATGCATGGAACCATCACGAGTCAGCAGGCCAGCTCCCCGACAGTTACCAAGAAAGTGAAACTTAGCAACCTGATTCTTATATTCCAAGCCCTTTCTGAACTATCCTATTACACGGGTCCCAGTGTCTGACTCAAGACTGGGATTATTCTCAGGCATAAAAAGTACTTTGATCTTCATCAAATAATAATGTATAAAAATACTATATAAAATATAAATTATTTAATTAAATAATGTATAAAATAATAATGTATTTTGAAAATGATGTATAAAAATAAACCTACCCATATCAAACTTTTGCATAATGAACATTTGGAATGCTTACGGAAGAAAAATGTGTGGTTGAAAAAAAAAGGTCACTGGAGTATGGTATTGCTAAGTACTTGCAATTATTTCAAGTGGCTGCACAGAAAATAAAAGAAGGTATCATAGGTAGGTGTAATTAGGAGTAATGGATTAAAATTAAGCACAGGAAAATTTGCACTGGAGATCAGAATAAATTTTTTCACAGCAAGGTCAGTGGTTCCTGTGGTTGCTCCATTAAAATGGCTGAACTCTTTTCTCCAGGTTGAGTAATTTTCAAACTAGACTAAGGGGAGCATTTTGGAAATAGCAGGTTAGAGAGAAATCCTTTACTGTCCAGGCATTGGTGTGGATGATTTAACACAACACTTCCATTCCTGGAAACAAGTGTTAACTTTTGCCAAAATGCTCTCTGGTTGTTTTCTTTTAGGCTTGGGTTCAAACACACCTTTGAGGTCAATAAGCATTTAATTTCCACTTTTTACATAAAGAATTTGAGGTGCAGAAGTAGTGTGACTTGCCCAAGGTCATCCTGAAAGTTAACAGCTAGTGTCTGGCAATACTAATACTGCTAATTTCTTAAATCAGGCGTTTGTGTCATCCTCTGGGAGTGGGGAAGGGGGAAAGCTAATACAGTAGGATGATTATCAAAGGCCCTTTTGAATGTTTTTCTAATGTTCCTCTAAGGAGCCTTACATGTAAATTACCCTGAAATATCCTAAAATTTTAGGCTATGCTGGCAAATAATACACTGTGTCCTTGAGTGAATTCACCTTTTCAAAAATAAGCAATTGATTTAGATCTGTTTGACCATGTGTTTGAAATTATATATTTGATATTATATCAAATGACTGATTTGATTAAAAATTTCCTTCTTGCTTTATAAAAGGAGCTCTGGCAGTTCAGTGCCTAAGGCATTTGCCTGCTAACAAGAAGGTTGGCAGGTCAAACCCACGAACCGTTCCGTGGAAGGAAGATGGAGCAGTCTACTTCCATAAAGATTTACCGCCTCAGAAACCCGATGGGGTCGCTTTGAGTCAGAATTGACTAGATGGCAGAAAGGTTGGTTTTTGGTTTGGGTTTCTTCCTTCAAAGTGGTCATTCTCAAACTTAAGTGTGGGCTTGTTGGAACAGGTTCCCATTTATGCTAATGGAGGAGGTACAAGTTCAGAAAAGGAGGGTGAGAATGGGGTACAATATGAGGAGTGTGATCAATATTCCTGAGTTGTACATGTAGAAATAGTTGAGTTAGTGTGTTTTGCTGTATATATTCTCAACAAAAAAATAAAATGAGAAGAAAAAAACATCCCCAGGTTATACTGATGCTGCTGGTCCTGCGAACACACTTTGAGAACCACTGCAAAAGCATTTGGCTGCTCATCAGTGATTTGAACCCATCCAGCCTCTCAGCGCAAAAAAGATGTGGCAGTCTGCTCCCATAAATATTTGCATCCTTAGGGCAGTTCTACTCTGTCCTTTAGAGTCATTGTAAGTAGCAACTGACTCGACAGCAACGGGTGGGAATGGCGTATGGTCAACTGTCTGATTCCCGGATTTTCTCCATTGAAAGAAAACAAATATCTCTAACTATTACCCTCAGACCACAAAGTTCTCTGACAGCATGACCAAGCTGCTTGGGCTTCATCTGGTCATTTTCAGACAAGGAGCACCAGAAAGAAACAAGAGAAAGCTTGTACTGAACGAGCACACTGCTTACTTCTCCCAGATGTTCGCCTGCACTTCATTCTGACCATAGAGAAAGGTCCCCTGAACTAAAATAAAAACTGATGTGATGGGGGAAAATAATGGGAAACGCTTACCCAAATATCATATTTCTTTAAAGGTGGTCATTTTTATTGAGGTACAGGAGAGATGATGGTAGATAGATTCAGGACAGATGAGGGAAAAGGTATGCCTTCCATCATGGCCTTATTGTAAAACCCTCTGGCTTTCCACTGAGACTGAAGTCAACCTCCTTACTCCGCCCCTAACTAGTTCCAGTCAAAGGAAAGAGCAAGGAGAATTTTATTCTCTCACTGAGCCCCATAATGTCTAGTCCTCCCTTGTTCCCCAAATGTATGATCAATTTCAGTTCACTGTATTTCCAAGGGTCACCATCTGCAAGTATATTTCAGGCTGTCTAATTCTACAGAAATATTCTCCAAGGTTTAGGATATCCGCCTCTATCCAACCCTTGTAAAAATAAATGTTCTGTGGAAATGTCATCCTTCTAACAAGTTTCTAGCCAAGCACGTGTGCAGGGAAGCTTTATAATTGGCAAGTCTGCTCTCAGTTACAGAGAATAAATAATAAATTGCTCACTAGGAAAGCACTGCAGCACAGAACATGGCACACACCGCCGGAAACAAGGGCAGAGCTCAAAGGTCATGTGTGGAATGATTTTACTGGACACTTACTGGGTGTTCGGCATCAAGCTCAGAACCATACATGAGAACTCTGTGAGAGCATTTGTCTAACTCAGAGATCTTCCGGGGGAACCAGGGCACATCCTCTAGCTCTGTGGAAAACACAGTGCATGTTCAAAAATATTAGCTCACAGATTGCGTTTTCCCCTTTGCAACATTTGTCAGATTGCAAAATTACCCGACAAGCAAAGACCAGCCTTGCCTTCTTCCTCTGTCCAAATGTTCTCCGGCGGATTCAAAGTCACAATTGTGGTTTGAAATTTCAATGACTGAATGAGCTCATTGAATTCTGTTTTACCACACTCACAGTCCACAAAGATTTCAACCTCAGAACTTCTTCTCCGAGATTTCCTGGATTCAATATGAACCATGTTGACACGTTTTTCCTGTAGAAATACAAGCAACATCTCTGAATCACCTTCAGGCCATGATAAAAGGGATGCCACAGGCTGCTCTTGTTCAACTGTTAAGCGATAAGATGGCAGGTGCCCACAAAACAGGAAAAGACAATCTCCTTGTTCTTTGATTGGCTGTGGAAATGTTTCCATCCATTGACTCTCTTAATAAGCAAATTGTATATTTATGTCTCTGTGTGTAGGTGTTCTTCCCTCATTAAAAGACACATTTAAGCTATTATATATAGAGAGAGACAGAGACTTAATGAGAGATATAGGAGCTCTGGTGGCATAGTGCCTAAGGCATTTGACTGCTAACCAGAAGGCTGGCGGTTCAAAGCCACCAGCCACTCCTCAGAAGGAAAGTTGGGCAATCTAGTTCCATAGTGATATCACCTCAGAAACCCAAGGAGGGGTCGCTATGAGTCAGGTTGGGCTCAATGGCAGTGAGTTTGGTTTTTTCTGGTTTATATGAGATATAAAAATATACATGTAAATATTTATATAGATATAGAGAGAGCTCTCTGGTGGCACAGTGGTTAAAGCACTTGTTTGCTAACCGAAAGGTCAATGGTTCAAATTCACCAGCTGCTCTGCAGGAGAAAGATGTGGATGTTTGCTTCTGTAAAGATTACAGCCTTGGAGACCCTATGGGCCTATTCTACTCTGTCCTATAGGGTAGCTATGAGTCAAAATTGAGTCAATGGCAGTAGGTTTGGGTTGGTTTATATATATACAAACAGTAAATTGTACAGATGGCAGGCAAATGTAGTTAGAAATTCAGAAAGTGGTATGAAAAGGACTGAGGTCTGAGAAACATTGGTCAAATTTAGGAAAAGAGAAGGGAGTAAGAAAAGTCGTGAAAAGAGGATCTTTGAAGGCAAATAGCAAACAAATCACTTATTCAGGAGACTAAAAAAAAAAAATCCATGCCTTCAAGTTGGTTCCAATTCATGGAGACCCCACGTGTTTCAGCATAGAACTGAGCCACACAGGGTTTCCAATGGCTGTGGTTTTATGGAAGTAGACTGTCAGCTCTTTCTTCCAATGCACCACTAGGTGGATTCAAACTGTCAACCTCTCAGTTATTAGTCAGGAGCAAATTGTTTACACCACTCAGAGACCTCACTTAGGGGACAATGAGAGACAAAGGTAAAAAAAAACTTAAATGGGCCACTTAGTAATTGTCCTCCTTCAGTAACCTCCAAGCTGGCTTCATCCAAGGGTGTGTTGCTGCAACTATCACCCCACAAAGAACCTCAGGGATGAAGTCTCCTTACAATAAGGTTCAAGAGGAAAAGCAGTAACTTAATCGTTAAAATTAAGGTTTAAATCCCCAGGTGATGTAGTTTTTCTTTGTACCTTCCTTAATTCAAGACTACATTCTCCTCTCCACCCCACCTCCACCACCTCCCCATCACTCCAGATGGTACACTCTGATTACCAACACAATCTCTGATACAAGCCTGGATACTCTCAGAATTTCCAGCATAGGAGCAGGACAGATAGTTTCCAAACCCAGAATAAGGTCAAATCCAACAGCATCCTCTCTCTTATATAAAGAAACTAGTCCTCTGACCAGGGAGCTGTGTCTATTTCTGTGTTTTTATTAACCTTTGCAAGAAAAGCCATCTTTCCTGAATTGGCTGATAATAAAAGTGAGACTAATGCTAAATTCAAGGTTCATGAGACTTCCTATACATCGTGCCACTTCGGACTCTTAATGTCCTTTGATTGAAGTGGAGAGGATATTTTTAGACAAGGTAGCTGAGGTCCAGATGGGTTAAGTGGTTTAGCTAAGGCCCATGACCAGCTGAGGATAGAGTGAAAACTCCAGTCTATGGCTGCTAACTCCTTCTTCAGGGATTTTTCCATTGCATGCAGCTGTCAAACTGAATTGGCCTGCCTTTGGGCACTGTATGGAGACAGCTCTAGATGATATAATTACGTGTAAAACATTTCTCCAGACTTCCATTACCTCTGTTTATGGTGCTTGATCCTTCCCTTCAAGGTCAAGAGAGAACAAGGAAATACATTTAGTGTATTTAGTGCAGGCGGCTGCTTCCCCTGCGCTGTGGTCATCATACAGGCATCATAATAATGCCTCCTATTTGTGCAATTTATAAACCACTTTGACTCATATTGTTTCTTCACAAGAACCCTATAGGGCAGGGATTGTTATTGTTCTTTTCCAAATGAAGAGATTGAACTCCGGGAGTAGTCAGAGATTAGCCAAGTTAGGCGAATACAGGTCTGAATCATCTGATGGCAATTCAGACTGTCTTTCCACTGCAGAGCTAGGCTCCCTATTTTGCTCAAACCAAGAGCCAGTGACCCCAAGCAAAATGCATTTTTAAGGTAAAGTGCTCACCAAAGAGTAGAGGAGCCTGGCATGAGGGCAACAGCTTTTCTGGGCTTTTCCAGCCCCATCCCCAACCAGCCTCCTTCTTGAGGTTCAACCTACAGATTTGGACTGGGAAAGGGCTCCTTCATGTCTATCACATTAAGGGAGAGGTATCCCTACCACTTAGCTACAAAAAGTCTGACTCCTCTTTCAAAAAAAGACACTTAAATTCACAAAACAATGGGGCTTAGTGGAGTCTAAGTGCCTGTACTCATGTATCTCACTTTATGCAGTAAACATGCTCCTAAGACATGTGCACAACTCAAATTTTAACAAATCAAATCAGGCTGCAGGGTCTTGATACTTAAAAGAAACCTTGTTTTGCTCCTTTTGTGTTAGGCTCCCATCTTTGAATTACTGACTTCCTTACCTGGCAACAGTCTGCAGAGTTCCTAATAGCCTAACTGAATTAATAAATCATAGTTCACACGAATCTGCTTACTTCATTGTTTGGCAGGCAAACTCTTCTTGTAAAGGCTCATGAAGTCTGGTTTCTTTGAACCTTTCAACATATTATCCAGAAATTGATTCAGTAATGTTTCATAACAGATGACAGGTTTGTAACCAAGCACACAGCCACTTTTAAAGTTATGTAATGATATTTTACATTCACCTGAAAGAGTCTCAGAGCTTTTACCAATCCACCAACTTCATTTTTCAAGGAGAATACAACTGCTGTCTTGCCACTTTCGGTAGCAGTTTCGCTTTTGTTGCTTCCCCTGTTGCTTTTCTTGTCGTCATTTTTGCCAGAGCTCCCTTTATTTAGCTTCAAAAAGGAAGAGAAAAAGTGTATACATATTAGTTAGAATTCCAGAGTCCTTCATAATTAGATTTTTTTTTCCCAGGTATTGTCCAGCAATCATACAAACTCAAGGTGAAGTTGCTATGTCACTCATAACTCTCAATCATAAATATTGGTTTAATTTACTCGGGGACACTATTTGCTCGACAATATTATCCAGTGGTTGAAATGAAAAGGAGATCAGATTTGCTGCCCTTTAACAGCACAAAAATATGCCTACCATAAAGCATAAAGTATCATTTATGAATAATCCCTACCTTCCTAGGTTTATTTCACAGGATACAATTTGCTCTGCTAGCCTAGTTGTATCATACAGAAGATATAAAAATTATGAAACATCAAAAATAAGGCAAACATAGTTTTCACAATATATAAGCTTCGATTAAATTTTAAAAACAAAATATCCATTTCATTCTGAAATATGGCAAGATATGAACTGAAATTGATGACATTGGTTTCTGCAGTTAGGGTCACATTGTCCCTGTGAATCTACTTGTGGAAGTTCATAGGAGGAGGGAGAGTGTTTGACCAAGGTCATCTGTGTTCGCATGTGATGGCTGTTAAAATTGAGCCACAAATAAAGAAAGAAAGAAAAAGCCAGCCAGCCAGCCAATTCTTAAAAGCAAACAGCAGAATCTGAGAAACTGAAAAGAATTAACACTTCATTAGCCATTCAAGATACTGTAATATATGATTATGTAATGGCTATTAGTCCTGTTGGCTAAACTCAAAAATGTTGTCAAAAATACAGAAAGATGAAACTTTCATTTGACAGATAATACAAAACAATGATGCAATTTTTTGTGTTCTTCCTAAGCAAATGCAGAGACAAGCAGAGAACTTTCTTGCTGGCAAACAGTGATATAGCATAATCACACCAATCTATTACATCCTCACGAAACTGAGAAATGTATGTTTGATATGGAACCCTGTGGAACAATGATTTGCCATTTTCTTCCTTTGATTCTTCTACTGGCTTGATGTCTCCATGTTAGTACTGCCTTTCTCACTAGATTTACATATCATAGAAAAGATAGAAATAATATTTCATTATTTATGAGTTAAGGAAAGAAGAAGTCTACGCAGACATTGACATTTGACCACATATTTAGTCATTGAAAGCTCAGATGTCTCAGTCTCTTACCATCTGCCTCCTTCTCACCGTGTAACACACCGACCCTACAGCAGTGCTTTCTACACGGAAGGGTCCTACATTAACCATAACTCTGGTTTTCTTTGTTTTCCTTCTAGCAGTTAATTATAACTTCAAAATTCCTCAATGTAATATCTCGTTCCAAATATTCATGATATTTAAATGTTAGAAAATCCATTATGTTTTGGCCTCACTTTTGCAAATGGATTTAAATAATTCTACGAAACTTGCCATGATTACTTTTCAACATTTTTATCAGTAATAATATGTCAGCACAAAGCAAGCCTCTGGCACTTACTTGGAGCCACAGCACTAAAACAGGTTTTTTTTTCCTGTGATACAGACTGAATTGGAATTAGTTGATAAACCCTGATAGTGAAGTAATGAAATATCACTTAATATTTTTAATGAGTAGGAATATGAATACATTTTTTTTTCTCTGCCATTTTTATTAAATCCTGTAACAATTACCTCAACTCAGGGTCTAAAACCTTGCAGAATGTTACTTTTTTTATTCTGCTAATATTTAGAATATAAAAACTCCTTTAAATACTGGCATAAGCAGTGTATTGTTTCCATTACTACATCAATTAAACTGAAAAGAAAAAAAAAATTAATGAGGAATGCAAAAAAACTTTTGAAAGGAGCCTGTTCTTTCTTTTATTCCAATAGCCTGCATCTACAGACAAGATTTTTTAAATATGACTTCTACTTATGGGCTTTGTACAAGAAGCAATAATCTTATGAGAATCAGAAAAACCTAATTTCTTCTCTCCGTTTTCCTTATAATAAATGGTCTTTCAAAATGTTTTTGGTTGTGGATAAAAGATATTGTTTCCTCTTGTTCTAATTTTTAGGAACTTCTTAACTTTTTACTTATAAACTTTGAAGAAAAGAAGTTTAAGCATGTAGCAGTTAGTACTCCTTTCACTTTATGGAGGGAGGGGGCAGAGGTGGGTAGGATAGAGAGATGATCAAGGAGAGGGGAGTTGAGGTGCGTGTGCTCAGGATACACCAGGTGTCCATATGGTGAGGATAAGACAATCGCTACCCTAAAAGACTCTCTTCTCTGGAGAGTGACGGGTACTCAGTACTCACTGTTAAGCTGCCAAGTAGCTCTTCGGGCACCGCTGAATCCAGGGATAACCCTCTCCTTGCCCAGTATTTACTGGAAAACATCATCATCGCCGGCTGCATGGATCCTGATGTAATTTTCTTTCTCTGCAGCAGGGGGGACTAGAGGGGGTAGTAGCAGTGCTGGTGGAGAGGAAGGGGAGTGCGATCAGCAGTCAGTTTGGGTCGCTGTCCAGAATCCTGGTGCTGAAGAAAGAGCAATACAAACCCTCCTCTGCCCTGGCTCCTTTATAAGAGTGACTGGGGACTGATGGAAGGCTGATTAGAAGGAAACTCATTTCTGGCTGCTGATGGCCAAGGTCAGATTACAGACCTACAGCCTGGGGTTATCTGTGCTCATGGTGCAATTTGTTTCATAAGTTGAGTAGCTGTTTGAGCGCTGGTGGTAGAGAACAATACATAAGGGGATGTTATTTGTACAAGAAAAACATCAGTCCCCTGAGGTTAGGGCTCATCTCTCAAACCTGTTAATTGCAAGTTGACCTCAGCCTTTAGATGGTTGTGAGTTCAAAGGTTTTGTGCTTTCTGAATGCCTTTCCCAAAAAAGGAAAATAATTTAAGAGAAATCCGAGCTGCTGAATCCTTAAGCCATTTTACTTGATGCTAATAAGCTGTTTCTGACCTGGTGTGTAGTATGATTGTGTGTGTGTGTGTGTGTGTGTGTGTGTGATGACTTTCATAAAAGTCACTGCTTCCTAATCAAGTGATTGCCACTACATGGTGTGATATTCAGGCAATTGTATTGCAAAGAAAAAGCGAGACTTTGATTTAGCCACATATAGATACAGCTCATAGCTCAGACACTAACCTTAGAATTTTCCCCACCAAGTGGGAAATGAAAGGAAACTAAATGCTTCTGTATCAGTCATTCCTTTGATGCACTTGATGGTTACTGAATTTTGCCTCTCCCCTTGTAACCAGATTAAATCCAGCAATTTGACATGCATAGATCAATTGATATACTTGCTATTCAAACTTTGGAAGTTGTAAAATTTACTGTGCCACAGGGAAAATATCATAATCTTCCTGAAAATGGAAAACCCTTGACCAAATATGCTTGTTTGACTGTAAAACTAAACAATGTCTGGGACTGCACAAGGTAAAACAAGATGAAAATTTTCAAAACAGGAATGAATGAACTAATAATAAGTGTACTTCAGTTGTTTAATAAGCATGATTATTATTTCATTGAATTCTGTAAGTATCATTTGGCTTTCTAAAGATCATCCCTGACCAGCAATATAAAAGGCAAGTTTAAATAGGGTGATTGAAATAGTCATAATGATAGTAGCTAATATTACTGAGTGCTTAGTATTTGTCAGTCTCTATTCCAAGCACTTTTATATATGATTCATCATCACAACAACAGTTACTGTTTTTGTTGCTGTTGTGTGCTGTCGAGTCAGACCTGACTCATAGAGATCCCTCCTTGGGTTTCTGAGGCAGTATCACTACAGAAGTAGATTGCCCCATCTTCCTTCCAATCAAACCCACCAGCCTTCTGGTTAGCAGTCAAGTGCCTTAGGCACTATGCTACCAGAGCTCCCAACATTTACTAGGCACTCATTATTATTTCCATTTTATATATGAAGAAACTAAGTCATAGAGAATTTAGCTAACTTGCCAAATGTTCACAGAGCTACAGAGGAATGAGACAGGATATGAATTCAGGTACTCTGACTCCAAAACCCATGCTCTCAGCCATTTTATTGTACAGGCTCTCAAAGAAAGGTACCCCAAAGAGGGAAAAACATCTTAACAAAAAACTATTTCTGCTGTGACAGAATTTGGGGAGATGTACAATTCCACAAAGATTTGTTAAGCATTTACTTTCTGTTAGGCATTGAAACTGAGTCCTGGAAGATGCAATGATGAATGAGAAGGTCCCTACCCTCAAGAAGATCAGTCTAACTGAAAGAACGGACGTGTAAATAGATAAATGAAATAAAATATATTGACTTGTCTACAGAAAACATTAGAAGCACAAGCAATGGAGTGCTTAAACTACCTTAGGAGAAGTATTGCCTGAACTGAATCTTCAAATGTGAGTTTGTGTTTGTCAGTCAGAAGACAATGGAAGATAGTAGTGAGATGATTCCAGGTTGATGGAGGAATAAAAGAGAACTGCTGTTGCTCAATGAAGCTGAAGCATAGGGTTGGACCAAAGGTGCCCGGGGAAAGGCAAGGCTAAAGAGATCAACAGGTAACCCTTTAGTGACATTATGTGACATTTATTCTTTATCACCTACTCCTGTAGTAAAAGGAGAACAATTGGAAGGGCAACAGCTAAACCATATTCAACAAATGGCAGCTTGGAGGACATCAAGACTAAAGGCAACAAATTTAGGATTTGTATGATCTAATAAGGAGATGATGACCTGGATTAAGGCAATAACAGTAAGAGTATGATAAAAAGGACAAGAGATGTTGAGGAGGTAAAATCCATATGACAAGATTCATACTTGGATGTGGCAATAGAAAAAGGATGTCAGAGTAACTCCAAATTTTCTGACTGGGGTGACTGGGTAGATTATAGTGTCATTCATTGAACTGGACCATACAGGATCAAAAGCAGTCTGGGAGGAAATTGTTTAAAGTTTTAAGTTTTTATACATATTGCATGTGAATGGCCAAGTAAAGATGTCCAATAAAGTTTGGATATATGAATCTGAAACTTGAAATGAGACCTGAACTAGACATAAAGATTTAGGAATTGTCAAATAACTGAAGCTATACGAGTACATTTTCACTCATGGAGAATATGTTGTTTGAGCAGAGCCAAGAACAAAACCCTGAGGAACACCAAATTTCAGAAATAATAAAAAGAAAAAGAACAACAACAAAAAAAAAAAAACTTACTGCCTTCGAGTCAGGTCTGACTCACAGCGATCCCTCCTTGGGTTTCTGAGGCAGTATCACTATGGAAATAGATTGCCCAACCTTCCTTCCGAGTAGTGACTGGTGGGTTTGAACTGCCAGTTTTCTGGTTAGCAGTCAAGTGCCTTAGGCACTACGCTTCCAGAGCTCCCCAACAACAATAAGAGAATAAGAGAAAAAATATTTAGAGAGGTAGGAAAAGAAGAGCCAAGGGAAGATAAGGTTCTAAAAGACAAATATAAAACTAAAAAATGGGATGAAGGGCTGATTATTTGGAACTCTGATTGCCAGGATAAAAATTTCTGTGTAAAGGGAAGGCAGTTATTATATTTTATTGAGACTATAGTCTCATGAACATGATATCTTATGAAGATTTAGTCTGGCAAGAATATACAATACAGACTAAGAAGTAGGAAGCCTCATTAGAGGGAAGACATTTTGATGAAATCTAGAGTTGCAGCAGTATGAACAGAAAAAGGAATATCAAAATAAGGATCAATAGGAAGTTGGTGGCTTAGTGCATATTATATCTAAAAAGAAGGTGGAGTCAAAGAAATGAGAAAAACTGAAGTTTTAAGGTTGCACAGCTGGAAATAGTGGCACAACCAGGCAAAAGAATGAATGCTTTGGAAAAAAACAAATTTTAGGGACAATTACATTGAGTTGACCCCAGTACTATCAAGCAAATTTAAATAGTATGTAATTATGAACGTGGAACTGGAGTTCAGGAAATAGATCAGAACTGGGAATAGAAACTTGAGTGTTTCCGTAATATAAGAGTGACAATATCAACACATTATAGGCCTGTTATGCCAATAAAATTGGATATGAATAAAGTGTTTAACACTGCCCAGAATTGTGTGTTCCATATTTTAGTTATCTCCTTCAAAACCAAAAAAATCTGAACTGCTTGTCATGAAGTAGATCCCTACACATGGTGACACTGTAGGACAGAGCAGACACTTTTTGATTTGCAGCCCAGTGCTTAACCACTGCACTACTAGGGTTCCCAGTTATATCCCTAAACCCACTGCCATCAAGCCGATTCCAAATCATAGCATCCCTATAGGACAGAGTAGAACTGCCCCATAGGGTTTCCAAGGCTGTACATCTTTATAGAAACCTCTTTCTCCCATGGAGCAGCTGGTGGGTTTGAACCACAAACCTTTTTTTATTAGTAGCTGAATGCTTTAACCGTTGTGCCCAGAGTTCCAGTTATCTACCTACTGCTAATTAATTCTGAAGCCAGAGTAATATTTCATTGCACCCACAGGTTGCCTTCAAGGCTGTCTCCAGATCCCAAGCACCTACCAGAGTACTGGGAAGAGGATTTCACCCAGTGATACCAACCATTCTATAGGTGCCATGTCCATTTATCCTGATCAAATTATACACACAAAACACATATACAGTGTTTGCACTAGTGAAAGCTATTTTGATTACTCATAAACAGAGTACAACAGGAAAAGTTCCTTCCCCAGCTCAGAAGCTGTCCAGGCAGAATGGAAACTTTCACAGATGCCTTCTCTTTGCCCTGTGGATGAAGGACCCTGAGGTTGTTTCCCCACTGGGCTTTATATGAAATATACACATCCAACAGTTGTATATTTCACTGCACAGAGTGCAATGCAAAGTTTCTCTCCTGACCACCTGAAGATGAGGGCTAGTCAGACATGGAACTCCAGCCTGGAATTGTATCTCTTATTGCCCTGTTGTTTATTTAGACAACCCATTAGGACTTGGAGGGAGGAGGTACAATGGTTTGTCCTAAAGCCCAAAGATGCTAGCAGGGGAGAGGAATGCGGAGTAATTATTGCTGTTTGGGCCATCTGCAGGACTGCCTCCTCTCAGATACAAAACTGGACACTTGTTTGAAATCTTTGGTAGAAATTTAGGAGATGTTGATACTTAAGTTTCAATGAAGTGGCTGCCCTCATAGTTCATGATAAAAAGAGCCAATAGTCATAAGGTGAGTAACAAAAATTAACCTGTATCAAGCAGTTAAAGAGCCCAGGAGTGCAGGAAGTGGGAAAGTATAAAGAGAGATATTGTCAGATAAGGAGAACTACAAATACAAGATCTTACAGGTGGAAAAGGGTCATGTAGTCATATGGTCATGCTGGTGAACAACTGAGAGATGAGATAGGGATCCACATAATTAGGGAAGCTTTATGTTAAAGACAAGGAGCTCTGGCGTCTCATCTAAGGCATTTGACAACTAACCAGAAGGTTGGCGGTTCAAACCCCCCAGCCACTCCACAGAAG